GAGAAACTAGTAGTGGCTGCAGACCATGAAAGTAGCCCAAGTGAGGGAAATGTGCTGGTGGTTCAAATTGACATCGCATGACATGACAAGACCTTTATTTAATAGTCCTGAGGAAAATGATGAAGGGAGCCCTACGGCTCCCCATCAAGTCGTTGGCTCCAACCAGAGCGGAACCGGGAGGCGGTGACTCTCGGCGATGGCCTCTGGGCAGCCTGTGATTGAAGAGCGATGTCCGAACTGCGAAAAGCTTCGTCCCACTTTATCTGATAGTGAACACCGGAGCCCGCATTAAAAAGGGCACAGCCAGAGAATATTACCCAGAGAGCAGAACTTGTGCCCACCTTTAGAGTAGGACTGCGGAAAGTCAGGATCAATTGAGATCAAGTGCTTTCGGGTTAGGATACGTTCGTGTCCGAATAACTTGAACGGGAAGAACTGCGCCCTATTCAATCCCGACCATAGGGAGAGAACTTTGTCCTGCTTTTTTTGTTATACGAGGTAATCTCGTGTAATGTGGATAGCAGGTCTGTACTGGTACAATCCAGAAGAGCTGTGGATTCAGAACTAGCATGCGCGAAATGTAGCACCAGACAATTTCTCGAACTCTCTTCAATATTGTCTGTGTATATATACACGCATACATACAAATACGCATCCACGAACATGCATAAAGTATGACTGAACCTCGCCCCCCAAAAAATTTCTGGCTTCGCCCCCGCCGCAGACCGCGCGGAAACGTTGTCCGGATATGTAATCTTAGATGCGAAGCATATTATGTCAGGGACTATAACCCTCAATCTTGCACCATCTGGCCTCCACCACTGCACATGCACGTGCCCTCCTTTCTCTCTTTTTAACACTCCCCCCTCTCCCCTTTCCTCGCAACGCCGACGCAGGCAGAGTCTGCTAGCCTATGCTCGCTCCTTCTCTCTCTCTCCTCTAGACATCCCTACCCACAGCATCTACACCCCCATTGCGCAAGCGCGTCCCCTCGACCGCTCTCTCCTCTTCCCCTGCTCTCCCCTCTCTCACCTCGCAACGCCGAAGCTGGCAGCGTCTGCTAGCAAGAGAGAGAGAGAGAGAGAGAAAACATTTTATTAGGTACATATAAGCAAAGCATGTGGGAGGGAACCCGGACTATGATGATCTTGGCGACCAACTGGGCCCGTTGAACCAAGGCCTGGCGGACTACGGGGGGCCCGTCGTGGAGGAATCGTCCCACAGCTCTTTGGTGAGGAAGGGGCGCCAGATAGCGGGAAGGGGAGGAAATAATTTTGTGGCGCACCCCACCGCGACATGAAATAGTGTTGGGGAGCTGCCACAGCCCGGGAAAGAGTCTGCGTACTGGTCAGGATAGAATTTATGCCTGAAGAGGACGCTGGGGTACGTATGCGTTTGGAGTTGGTGGAGTGCCACCTCTTCCTCTCGCGAGAACGATGGTGAGGGCAGGTGCATGGTGCATCCTGCTCTGGTGTAATACGCCAATATGTCTTGGTATGTAAGTGGAGGGAGGGCCCGCTTGATCTGGACTCTCAGCCTCGCCAGCGGGGTGGCTCGGTGGAAGTGTCTTAAATGAAAAAAAAAACTGACTGCTAGCGCTGGAGAACCGTTCGCTGGCCACCTTGTACATACATGTAGGCACTAAATCTCGACCTCCAAGGTAGTGCCGGTGGGAGATTTTTCATGTGCGTTGTTGTGGAATAAAGATTTGCAGCGTGCGCGTTAACTGAAATTCGACTGTGGGTCTTTGTGTCCAACCAGCGTCTCCTGTCTTTCATTCGCCATTAGCAGCGATTGGCATGTTTTGGTAGGATACACCAGCCCGTCACTGCATGCTTTGCGCCTTCCAATGTTTGTCTCTTGCGCAACGCCGCGATGAGCGCCAGCGTCAACGCCGCCGCCAGTGTAAGCGTTAGCGCCCGCTTCTTCGCATCTACACATGGACCCCTTTAGCGAGATATGATTTTTTGTGCACATGTATATTGACGTTTTCATATTTTCGCTACCCTGTGCGTGTAATATGTTATCATAATTGCGAGTAATTGTATTTAGAGCATTGCTATTTGGTCCACATGATCATGAGGCATGTGGCGCATTTTAACTAGCACAAAGGGTTGTAGTACTCTTCCTTCCTCCGGAAATTCCAACCCATATAGTTGTTTACCATTCACCTATATCTAAGCACCCACACCACTGCGGGCGGATTGTGGTTCATCGCCCTTAAGCTTAGCAGTTGAGCGCTTTAATCACTACGCCATCACTGGCTAGTACATAATGCATGTTATGAAGATTCAATTCACAAAAGAGATACAAAGCAAGCATATGTTAGCCAAATAAGTTCAGAGCAAGTATCATATAGCACCACTGGTCGTTCGCTCAAGAGAAACAAAGCGGACACAACTACCACCGTAGTTCTGGGATCGGAGTCTGTGTGTGTGTGTGTGTGCCGCTACTGACGTTAGTACCATTCGCATCATCAGGACACGCAGGATACAGCTCAATCCTGTTCTGGAGTATCGGGATCTGCGTGGTGTTGGTTACTCTAGCCACGTCGGTCGCCTCGTGGTTCGCCGTCCAGCTACGCCGACGTCGAGTGATGGCAGCCTCCGAAGGGGTGCGTGTGTGAATATCCTTCATAGGTTTCCCTCACAGGGTGCTGCAGTGGAAGGAGAGGTGGTGGTGAAAAGTTTCTCCACAGTGACCCCCCCCCCCCACACACACACACACAAATTCATGCCACAGCCATCATCACAAGATGTCTGCTTCGCCATGACAATGTACATAAAAAAATAGTGATGACGCAAGTCCGACCGAAAAAAAGTGCTATGCAGAAAGCCCTTTTGATAAGTAAGAAGGGCCCCCTTCCTTCTTACCCCCTCTCAGCTTGGACAACTTCTCTGAAGCACTACAATGTAAAAAAAAATTGGCCCCGTATCTGCATGTTACACTGCAAATGTTGTCTAAAGACGATGTCGTCTTGCGTCTGGAGAGAGTGAACAAAACTTTTATTTGATGTTCTGCACAAGAAAATCGGCGAATGGTATTCTGGAGGTGCTGCGTTAGAGTGCCTCGAGCGTGCAGCGGAGGTGAACGAGTGCATCGAGTCACGTCACACGTGAGACATAAGCGCTATCTGGCAGTTATCTTGGAAAACGAAGTGCGCGGCGTGCGCACCCGTCTCGGAGGTGATAAGGTGTAGATCACAAGGCGACGGGTAGGTGCCACCACCGTGTCGTGTTAGCAAAGCGTTGGAAACACTTGCCTTTTCGTGGAAGCGTTGCATCGTCAGCGCAGCGTGATAAGCGCTATGGTCCTTAGAATTACTTTTGTATGCCTTCTCTAGTATAAAGACATACATACGGGATATTGACGTGTTCTTATGGTGCCTCAGATATGCACTTTGATGGCTTTTTATTTGACAATCGCACAAGTATGAATGCCAAGTCTAGAAGTGTGGCAGCTTGGGCTAGTTGGTGTGGCATGACGATAGTTATAGCGCGAGAACAAAACGACGACACAGAGTCTTCCGTGTCTTTCTTGTATCTGAGTCGTCGTTTTGTTCTCGTGCTATAACTATCGTCATGCCAAGTCTAGACCAATATAGGTGGGTGCTGCGGATGGGGTCAGCCGTTTGGGGTATCGTTTGGTGCCGTTTAGGGTATCGTTAATGGTGGACAAACAGACAAATGTGCAGACGGACAGACAGACAGACCAAAATTTTTGCGTCGAAGGCTCCAAAGAAAGACTATTGTCTTTAAAAGAAACTGTAAAAGATCTAACTCGCTTTGAAGGAATGTATACAGTTGTGAGCTATACGAAAAGGCACACCATGTTTCTGTTAAATCTACAATTACTCAAGATAGTGCGATAAGAGTGTGATGTACCGATCTAGAGGAAGTTCCTCTATGCTTGAATATTTAATGTCATAAACACTTTGGAAGGAAGCGGTGTGCGTGTTTGATGCCTGTGTGTGTGTGTGTGCGTGAATGTGTAGTGTGTTTGCGCTCAAATTATAATTTTGAATTGTTATACAAACTTGCCCAACTACAAGTTCATTTACAAACACTTCCGGGCTTGTCAGCTGCGTTTAGCTGCTATTGCCACTTGAAGGTAATTTCCTTTCATACTGGCCACTGCTGTACGTGCATATAAGTTCATTCGCAACTTCTCTGTTTCAACCAACGATCAGGTGAAGATGACGTGGCATGTCTTTCTGTGTGTTTTACAACGGCTGTGTTTAACGTAGTGTGATGTCCATGATGTAGATGATCATTTATGATCGAACTGGTCTTGAAGGCGTTATCTGTGCTTCTGCCGGAATTGAAGTGGAAGCCAAATGTCAACTAAGAGACCAAAAGTCGAAGCTAGAAGTCATTCACCAGTCGGTTTATTAGTCGCAAACCACGTGATTGTAGCCAAAACCACAAGCGAATCCACACAGATTTCTCACTAAGTAAAGCTCCCAGTTACAATAATTATTGTCGCCACCTTGCAGATTTCGCATATCTCACTCCTTCACTGGCAACATTCTGTGTCTCTGCACCCCGATCTGTCGATGAATTTGCCCGCAAGTTGCCTACTGCTAGATGCTTGGTTTGTTCAATAGGAAGAGCGACCTCTTGGGAAAGGCGTTGGTGTCGAGTTGGATCGCAGGACCAGGGTGATTTTTTTCTAGCTACGGAGCTTTCCTTTTCTAGAATATTGGCATTGGTTTCGTTGTGACTTCGCGCTGCAGACTTGTGGTTTACACTTCTTTTTTCATAGCCAATTAATCAGTTGATCGATCGATCGCTAAGCTGGTTTTGTAATCAATCAGTCGTTCAGTCAATCAATCGTGAATCAATCAATCAATCAATCATACAATGTCAATCAGTCAAGGAATCGCCATAAATCAGGTGATAGATCAATCATTCAGTCAGTTAATCAGTTATCCAATCAATCGGTCACACCTGTCGCACATGCGTATAATCAGTATGGTGACCTTTCAGAAGTTGGACGAAATGTCGCCGGCGGCCGCATCCTCCAAGTCTTCCGACACGGAGCAGCTGAGCTCGACAAGCCAGTTTCTGCGGCTGCACAGGAACGCATTCCGGCTCATTCGGAGGTCAGGAGACACGTACGAGGTCCCCTATGAGGCCCTAGAAGTGCACGAAGAGATTGGCCGAGGCGCCTTTAGCGTCGTGCACAGGGCCCACGTATGGTTGGGAAAAGTGCGGGAGACGGTCGCCGTCAAGATGCTCAAAGGTAGGTCTCTGCTTACTGGAAATACTTTCTGTCAATATTTTGTGTAATAAGTACAGCAAACTGATATCTTTACTTTCCTACTTATTTATACAACTGACCGTTTCATTTCGTGATGATATCCAATAGACATAAGAGTACACTCAAACTTTTGTTCGGCGTAGACATGCCCAACAATTATAAAAACTTGAAGCCTGAACAAGAGTTATAATAGTATCTTCACTATAAGCAAGCGCAAAAAAGACATTATGAACAATGTGCAATAGATTCTTAATATGCTAGTAGAGAAAACATTGGTCACAATATTTCTATTGAAGGAAGACAATTTTCATCGGTAAATTATCAATGTGATGCTGGTGTTTCTCGAAGGCTCTGATACAGTTGCATTCAGTGTGGTGCCATTAACATCTGATTTCGTCATCGTCGATCAGACAATCCGACGACCGAGGAGAGAAGGAACCTCCAGCGAGAAATCGAGCTGCTCAAGCTGGTGGGCAAGCACGCCAACGTGGTCAACATGCGAGCTTACTGCACGATCGGGTCCCGGCTAGCACTGGTCGTTGAGTACTGCCCACTGGGTGACCTCAGGACGTACCTCATCAAGATCAAGGCAAGACAAAAAGTAGGTGTGCCTGTTGCCTGACGTACATCTTGTGAACTTTCTTGTAGTACATAGTCCAATAGAGAGATGTTTTTATGCATATTCACTATAGCTCTTAAGTTTGCATGTACAGTGCTCAACTCTCATGTCTATTACGACAGATCGGGTCGCGCGGAACAGCACGAGCGACATCTGCAGTCTCAAGTACGCCACATCTGATCATGCGTGGCGCCAGTGATTTGCCTGCCTTGCAGCTTCCACCCTTCTTTATCTCAGTGACCGAGATGACTTCTTTGGCTATCGAAGCGCTGTCAACATTATAGAACCGAAAGAAAAGAAAAAAAAAAGAAACCAGCAATATCCCGGATAGGTGCCTTTTGTACTCCTATCTTATTCTTACTTCGGCATATCATATCACAGTGATAATGGGTCGCTCCGTTTTTTTTTTTAAAGACGATAGTCTTTTTTTGGGGTGCTTTGACGCACAAATTTTGGTCTGTCTGTTTGTACGCCGTAACGATACCCCAAACGGCATCAAACGGTACCCCAAATGGCAAACCTCAACCGCAGCGCTCACCAATATTGCTAAAAATTCAGCGTTCATACTTGTGCGATTATCAATTAAGAAAACAATTATTACGCATATCTGAGGCACTGTAACAACACGTCAATTATTTTGCATGTTTGTCTTTATACTAGAGAAGGCATGCATAAGTACTTTTAAGGACCATAGCGTTTATCGCACTGCTCTGACAATGCAACGTGGTGCTCAAAATGTCAAGTGTTTCCAACGCTTTGCTTTTTGTGGAGGCACCTGCTCGTCGTTTCGCGTTCTACGCCTTATCGCCTCCAAGACGGGCGCGCACGCCTTTCTTCGTTTTCGAAGATAACTGCCAGATAGCGCTCGTGTCTGAAGCCCAAACCACACGCACGCTCTGAATACGCTGGCCGAGCGCGCGTGGTACGCGCTCGGGAGGCTGCGCATGCGCAGACTGAGCAAGCGCGGCTAAACGCTCGCCGTACGCGAGTGTTTGCAGCGATCTGATATTGACCCTGAAATTACGCGCGTACAAGAACATTCGGACATAGATTAATATACAGAATCTGTATATTAAATCTATGCATTCGGAGCTTGGCAAGTACGCTACTGCGACATGGCTGTTACCGGCACTGACTTAGCCGTTGGATAGTAGCCGGATCCACAAGTCGAATTTAGTACCAAAGCAAAGCGTGTCTTCCAAAACATCCGGGTGCGTGCCCAGTTGCCGCTTTTTTTTTTTTTTTTTGAACGCGCTTTCTTTCTCAGCGACGCAACACAGTAGGTCAGGGCGGCAGCAGCAGCAGCAGTGGAAGAAGCGGCAATCGATAATGAACTCCTTATATCTTCAGTGGAGGTCCAGCAGTTTTTGGGGCTTGCCAGGCACATTGGTTCAGAAACACGGGCCGCACCCACCAACGCCGGGGATGCCGAGGCCGTCGTTGCTCGCTTCTTATTCTTAAAAATATACGTAAAAGTGTTATCTTCAGCAGTGTTAAGATCTTCGTGTGGTTGGAGAGTGCAGGCGGGGTGTCGACGAAGAGGCAGACAAAGCACTAGAAACGGCGCGAAAGCGAAAAAAGCGCGAAAAGCAGACTCCAATGCAGCTGACATGCCCATTCCGCTGCGGCTGTCGAGCACAACAATATTATACGTCGGGTGAAAACTTTCACATTTTATTTACCTTTGCATGCATCTAACAATAAATAAGTAAATGAAAAGAGGTTTCGTAAGTATTATGATGAATTATCAGTAAATTTGTTCGAAACGATGTCAAGCACGTTTGAGTACGCTCACGATCGCGGGCTCCTTCGCGCCTAGCGTGTGGGTCGAAACCGCCATTTTTCGCTTGGAGCGCAAACGCGCTTCTGCTCGTGCTCAGTCAGTGTACGTGTGTTTCGGGCTTAACGTGCCTCGATGCGCTCGTTTGCCTTTGCTGCTCAGATCGAGACTCTCTAACGCAGCGCCTCCAGATTACTATTCACCGATTTTCTCGCGCAGAACATCAAGGAAACATTTCGTTCAGTCTCTCTAAACGCAAGACTATCGTCTTTCGACGACATTTGCAGTGAAACATGCAGATACGGGGCCTTTTTTTCGCTTACTTTTTTGTTTTTTCGCTAAATAGTCGGAGAGCTTTCGAGGGCCAAAGCGGTTGTTGCATCAGCGGTGATAAGCAAGGATATTCCTGGACTGGCACATGACTGGCGCCGCGCATGCTCAGATGTGGCGTATTTGAGACTGCAGATGTCGCTCGTGCTGTTCCGCACGCCACGCTCTGTCGTTATAGACATGAGGGAGGAGCACTGTACATTACGTCATGAAATGAGTCGCCTAATAAGGCTAAAGTTTTACGTTTTGCCAATGTGACCTTCAATGTAAAGTCAACATGAGAGAAGGAGAGCAAAAACAGGTCACGTAATATATGAAGGAATATATATATATATATATATATATATATATATATATATATATATATATATATATATATATATATATATATATATATATATATATATATATATATATATATATATAAACGTCAGTGAGCAGCGAAATATGATGTGGAAGCTTATGTTCAAGTCTACTTGGCGATTGTGTTAATCAGCGAATGTTTGTAACGCAATGCAGGTCATAGAAAAATAAGTGAGCTGTTGAACTATAACTTACTCATGAAAAGTTAAAAAAATGTAAATTAGTAAGATTTCATTAGTGGGCATTATTCAGTGAAGCCAACATCAATATAAAGTCCACTGCCTCATTGGATTGCTTTTACCTTTGAGTCGTGCAAGGTGAACGTGCTATGGGCCGTTCAAGCTTTTCCTGCACACTATCCGACCTCCAATCACTACACATGAAAAAGAGGTATACCCTATCACGCCCGTTTATATGTTTACAGCGCCAATACACTCATAGCGTTTACAGCGCCAATACACTCATAGCGAGTGGAATAAGCAAAACTGGGTTGTCACCAGGCAGGACGCTCTATCCGCCATGACTCTATCCGCCATGATTCAATTAGTATGCGAGGTATTATTACTTCTCTGATAGCTCATGAAAACATTGCTTGCTGCCTGACTCTAGCTCGCAAAAAAAGTGTGTCCTACACTGACCGTCATTGTTGTAAGTGGCGCTGGCTAGCTTATACGCATGCCATAATACCCAATGAAATGTAACAGAGGACGACCACCACAGTAGCTTAATTGGCGTGCTATCCTGAGCATGTGGGCTCGGTTTATACTATCGGTTGGTTGCATTTTCATGCACTTTATTGTATATTGCAAGAAACATTACAGCTAAAGACTACAAATAATTTCTGCTATACTTTTATTGAATTCGGTATCTGATGGTCTCATGAGGTTGTAAATAACAAAAAAAAGCTTTGGTCCCACCATTATTGCGCGTAGTTTGGCAAGAAGTGGTGCTGTTATGCACAATGTTGTATTGCTTCATATAATGAAATTCCGAAATGGTGGCACGTTAGGCCAATCGAAAAGGCCACAGGCAGCTCTGTGGACCAATCATAGCTGACAAGGTGGCGTGATTCGACAAGGTGGCGTGTTCGGAAAAGTATCTTAGAATATAAGGGGATTACTCACACATGTCTCATCGTTACCCAAAGGCTGACATCGGCGACAATGGGCCACATAAGCGTGCGCAAAGTGATAGAAAAAAATTAGTAGTAGGATGGGGGTGGTTGGCATTTTTAATTTCTCATCTTCGCACTGTGTACACTTCATGAAGAAGACCACAGGTTCGGGACATTGAACAGACACACGGAGCGCGTTTATTTATGAAACTGTGTTTATTTATGAAAGTTGACAAGGAGCAGAATCACGCCGATAATGTTGGCTGCGAGTTCTGGGCTTGTGAAGCGCATGCGGCCTTGTCACATTTTTTCAGCTTGTTGTAAGACTTTCGAGCATCAACACGACTTACTTGCACTTTTCTAAAAGAACCCGAGTGGAAGGGGTCGGGATGGGGTTAGCTGCATGAATTTTCACCCACTTCGGGCCCCTTTTAACGTAGAACCCCGGCGCGCGCCCATGCTGGGTCGTTAAACTAGAGCTATGTGGTCAGCGGATGGTGCCCATGCACAATGACATTTGTGTAATGCGTACATCATTGCACAATAGCTTGACGAAGATGTCACTGCTACGAGCTCCATTTGCGACCGAAAGGCTGTCTTGCATGTGTTCAGTTTTGCACGTCACTTGTGCAGCCTTGCGAAAAGTCCTCGAGCAGCGGTGATCCAGGACATCTGGACGTGTCGACATCGAGCACCGATTCTGGCATTCAAGAAGGTGAGTTCCAATAAATACTTACCCTGAAAATGCCGAATTAAATACACAGCGATGGCGCTAACTGAATACGTGTGGTATGTAGGTAACAGTATGTCAAATGTGCCGTTAATTTCAACTGATCACGCAATAATTGGGAGCTTATAATGCACCAATGAAAAATATAAACAATGAATTTGCATCGGTGTGCTAGATGTATTTCCACTTTCAAATATCTCGCACGCACAGGTTATGCATGCATTCGTTCTTGCAGATATTGGGGACGCGCCACCACTGATGATTCTCCTGTCGCTAGCGCGGCAAGTAGCCCAAGGAATGGTGAGTTGTTTGAACGCGAGCAAAACGAGCTGTGTTGCGTCTCAGTTGGACTTTAGATTGCCTGCGAAAAGTGTATTCCTGAAACCATTAAGGATGTCTTATCCTAAAAGTAAAATTTAGTAATGATCTTATGAATGAATGAATGAATGAATGAATGAATTTTATTTAACGTCCGGCAGTTTTCTCCGGGCGAAGTGAGGGAAGAGAGGATTAACCCCTATCCCTTTCTACTCTCCGTCGATTATGAGTGGACCACTCGAAGTCCTTGTACCCGGACGGCATCTTCAGCAACCCTAGGCCTGTGTTATCTACACCTATACCAGTCGGACGCGTATGAAGTGTGCGGGGAAAAGACCACACTACGGCACATGCTTTGGGAGTGTGCTGGAAAAGTTGATGTCACTGCCAACGCTCCCTTCGCGATGCATGTCAGGCAGGGACCAGCTGTTGCGGATCGGCAGAGCAGCTGACGCTGGGAGGCGGCACTCACCAGCGGCGAGCTGGCCGACAAGCTTTGGGACGCCAATGAGGGATATTGACTTCATTCAAAATATCCTAAGGAGGCCGAGCCGAGGCCGTTAGGACACTTAAGTCAGCCTGGGGGTCCCGAACTAAAGTGATTTGATTGGTATGTTGGGTTTAACGTCCCAAAACCACCATATGATTGTGAGAGACGCCGTAGTGGAGGGCTCCGGAAATTTCGACCACCTTGGGTTCTTTAACGTGCACCCAAATCTGAGCACACGGGCCTACAATATTTCCACCTCCATCGGAAATGCAGCCGCCACAGCCGGGATTCAATCCCGTGACCTGCGGGTCAGCAGCCGAGTACCTTAACCACCGCGGCGGGGCGAATTAAAGTGTATGTATGTATGTATGTATGTATGTATGTATGTATGTATGTATGTATGTATGTATGTATGTATGTATGTATGTATGTATGTATGTATGTATGTATGTATGTATGTATGTATGTATGTATGTGTATGTGTATGTGTATGTGTGTGTGTGTGTGTGTGTGTGTGTGTGTGTGTGTGTGTATGTATGTGTGTATGTGTGTGTGTATGTGTGTATGTATGTGTGCTTGTTTGTGTGCTTGTTTGTGCGTGTATGTGTGCTTGTTTGTGCGTGTATGCGTGCTTGTTTGTGCGTGTATGCGTGCTTGTTTGTGTGCTTGTTTGTGCGTGTATGCGTGCTTGTTTGTGTGCTTGTTTGTGCGTGTATGTGTGCTTGTTTGTGTGCTTGTTGGTGCGTGTATGTGTGCTTGTTTGTGTGCTTGCGTTCTTGCGCGTGTTTACGTCGAAATGAACGCCGCACCGTCTAACCAATCATCTCTATATCTGCATAACGAGGAATTAAATTTTATCGATAACGAACACGTGCCTTAGGCGTATCTCTTGTAACTCATCGTGTCATGTGTTATGCGCTGATTTCTTTGTTTATATTTCCTTTCACCTAGCAAAGCTGCAGTTGCTAGTGAGCGCTTGCAGTGTGCGGTACCCTTCTTCATCCTGCCACATTTATTCGAGCTCCAATTAAGTTTCATATAAACACACACACGCACACGCACACGCACACGCACACACACACGCACACGCACACACACGGACACACACGCACACACACGCACACGCACAGTGTGTTTGTTTCAGCCCCATTAAATTAAAGACGCGTGAGACGGTTGTCTTCGCTCTCCATGTTTCCGACTGAAGAAAAGCGCATAAAAACGGGACTGGAGTGCTTGCTCACAGTGACATCTTCAAGCCACGGTGGGACTTGTTTGCATAATGTAGTGCCTATCCTTTCACCTGTCTGTCTTACCTTGTTAAATATAAGAGTGGAAATCAGCCTGCGAATGGATGAATAAGTAAGCACTGAAATCCTTTGCAGCATTTCCAGACGTACGGTATCTATAAAAGTCTCGGTCGAGTCACGCCCCTGAGAGGCACTTTTATCGTAAAGGGGCCACGGGTACTTTTCCTTTACATGGTAAAATAAAAATGTCAATGATTGTGAAACTAGACTCCTGCTAATTGTTTCTGCAAATTGTGAAACTAGGCTGCTGCAAAGTGCAGCCAAAGCTTTTTTTAATACACAGGCCTCTGGGAATAGCAACAAAACCACCCTTATTGTCAGCTCGAAGTAGGGCCAACTCATTCAGCTTGAAAAAGCTCCCAACATGGTTCAAGACAAACTGCCTAACCATGTCAGGACCTTCTTCAAACAGAATAATATGGCTCTACATGGCAAGGAGGGTGGTTTTGTTGCTATGCTCGCCAGTGTCGACGGATATCCCAACACTGTTGTGGTCCTATTATTTTCGGCGCAGGAGTTCCTATCCTCGAAGCGCGTGGTGCATCGTGACCTGGCTGCCCGCAACGTTTTGCTGGTCAGCGAGCATCACGCCAAGATCGCTGACCTGGGCTTGTCCAGGGACACGTACGAGGAAGGCGTGTACCGCAAGCAAGGAACGGGTCTCCTGCCAGCCCGCTGGATGGCGCTCGAGTCGCTCTCTCACATGACCTACACCACCATGAGCGACGTGTGCGTGAGGAGTATTCATTCACCTCTACTCGCAGAATCGGCCACTCTTTGCCACATGCTGAGATGTTGGAAGACTCGAGGACTTATGCGTCACTTGTTCAAAGTTCTCATATTTCCATGGGCAGAAACAAGTTCTTGTTAAACAGAAGAAAAATTCAAGCCAGTTTAACTTTATTTGGAAGTTGTACAAATAGCGTAGCAGGGATGCGCCTTTGTTTACGTTGTCTTTATATTGTGTCTATCTAATTTTTATTCTTTTTGCGTGTTCGATCCTTGTGTTACACGAAGTAAAGCCAGCGTACTCCGTCACGACCATCACTCCTGAAACAGAAATGACGTCAGCTAATGTTTTTTGTGGGGCTTGACGTAAATCAAAAACTGCCCCGCACTTAAAATGACACTGAAACAGAAGCGTCGTTATCCTTGCTACATCAAGCTAGCACCGAAACGAATAACGTCGTGCCTTATCCATTGCAATGGTCTTCCGCTAGTGAGGTCCGTGCCACCCTTTGTGAAGCGAAAAGCTGCAATCACTTCAATTTACTGATCCGAAGGTAGCGGGTTTGATCCCAGCCGCCGCATTTCGATGGAGGTGAAATGGTAAGGGCCCGTGTACTGTAGGGTGTTAGTGCACGTTAAAGAACACCAGATGGTTAAACTTTCCGGTACGGTGTCTCTCACAATGCATCGTGGTCTTGAGACCTAAAACCGCTGAAATTATTATTATTATTATTATTATTATTATTATTATTATTATTATTATTATTATTATTATTATTATTATTATTATTATTATTATTATTATTATTATTATTATTATTTGTCAGTACATTTCGTGGGGAACAAGAGTACGTGTTACATGTTTCAGCAACTTCTGACTTGCCATGCGAATGACTCCTTTTAAAGCGGCAAATGAGCTCTCATTGATGATCGTTATGCTCCCTTCGGATAGTCGTGGGACCCAAAAGAAAGCTACAGTTTATCCGTGAAGGGAGGCATATGCGCTCCAGGGCAGCACTCACCGCAAAGTGCAACAATTTTTTTTTTTTGGCTGCGTGGAGTGCAGCTTCATGCACCTTTATGGTGGATGACCAACTTTGATTATCAAGGAATGTTATTCACTTCGCTGTTTTTCCCAAAACCGACCTGTGAGAATAACTATGGATCATCTCTCCGAAAGGAACCCTGATGGGATGCGAAACAGCAGCGGTGCGCATGGCGTTGATCCGGTTGAAACGGGCATCGACGTGGGTGCTATAAGAACGGTTTTGAAGTGAAACTCGATGTAGTGTTTACTCGAGTAAACGTTCGTTTCAAACGCAAACACACGGAAGGCGGGTTGGGTCTTGTGTAAGTTTTATTGCAGATAAACGAGCCGAAAGAGTAGACAGATTTAGCAGCCGTACGGACGCAGCCTGATAGCCATTTGCAATAGCAGGCCGCGGCCGTACGGCTGCTGCGGACGTGCAACTAAATATGTTTAGTGTCTCTAATCAACGTATGGTCGAGAGTTGTGGGTGGTGGAGATGGTGAAGCGAGAGCGAAGTGTGTTGCGAGCGGGCTGGAGCCGGCAGCTGCTGCGAGTGTGGGAGAGAGCGTCGTCAACGCGCAGCTGCAATTTGACCTACTTGGCACCGCTCCAACACCCGCGTTAGGAGGGGGGGGGGGTGGCGTGGATGCAATGGAGAGCCCTACACTGGCTAGTCAAGCAGCTGTTTCGCATCTTAAAAAAAGAAGCTCTCACAGGGTCCCTGGTGCGTTCGCCAAATACATCTCGAATGCTGAAGCCACAATTGCGATGATGCCTACGGCAAATATTTGCGCTTGGAAGGGGCACAGCTGAGGTTCTTACCTTATTAAACAATACGCGTATTTGCAACGATTTACTTATTCCTTCTCTGTGGGTGTTTAGGTGGTCCTTCGGCGTGCTACTGTGGGAAGTGGCTAGTCTTGGTGCCGCGCCTTACGCCGGCGTTGCTAACCATCAGCTGCTGGACTTCCTGACGGCAGGACACCGCTTGACGAAGCCGGTCAACTGTCCACAAGAAACGTAAGAACCACGTTTGACACTGTGCGCGTGTGCGTATGTGCGTGCGTGTGAGCGGGCGTGTATAGAACCCCCCCCCCCCCCCCCACACACACATTGGAAACTGTTTCACTACCCATTCCTCTAATTCTTATAACACGAAAGTGCTTTATGCCGAGGTCCACCACAGCTTCAATGACGTATTTCCTTCACGTAAGTGACGTTGAAAAATACTTACTAAGAGATTGCAAAGAAAAATAAACAGGAGACAAGCATCTGTCGCGTGGAATCAAACCAGCAACCTCTCGATTCTCAGCGCACGGCGCTAACTACTACGCCACATTGTGTTTTTTTTTTCTTTATTGACGTCACATAGCGTACGTTGTCCGGAATCCTTACGGTAAGCCATTTATATATACCATACAACGTTTAGCCGTCCTCAGCTCTGAAACTTTAGCGTGTTTTCGTTATCAGGGCTGGTGTTGGACGCACTCTAAAGGTCATCGCTTTCACGAAGCGCCGCGGAGCGTGGTCGCTCCTGCTTGCGCACTTATCAGACTCGTAATTCGGGAGAGGACGAAAGTCAGTTCTACCGCTATCACGGTGGTGTTTACGAAAGGAGCGCGCCGCTGAGACACGACACAGGAAGAATTGACAGTTGTTGGCACTTGTCCTGTGTATACTTGTGCGCTCGTTTCGGGCGTATTTCTTTCTTTGAACAGCGCGCTTTAAGTGTCAAGCGGTGACAGTTGTAAGCCCACGCTCGTCCTGTGTATACTAATTTCGTGCGTGCTTTCTGCTTGAGGTGTGTACCGAAGGTTTCGAGTTGCTTGCCCTCCCTAACGTGACTTTGCAGTTTGTTTCTTTTGCTGAAACAGTGCACAAAAAACTCTCAACTTCCTCTGTAAAGACCCGTTTCACTTTAGTGTTATACCGATTATTATATTGGAGTATCAGCCACGTGTTTATCTTCATGCATTTTATATAAATCAAGTTTATAGTTTGCGCTTGCCGGGCCTAACTCACAACCTGTGTCGTCCCTAACCTCCTTGTCTCAGTAACTGTAGCGCAATTTTTAAATAATGTTGACGCAACTAACCCACAACCGCACCTTTAGCACGTATATTTAGAGCGTTTTCGAACGTTAGGAGGGCCCTTTGCGCTTTTCCGGACTCACCGTTGTCAACATGCTCATGTTTTTCTACAGCCACACAAATCTTCAAACTACGTGCGACTCTTCCGTGCGTCAACGCCATATAACGAAGAGGGCGCTACAAAATTTCCCCCGGCTCCCCTCTCCCTCTCGGTGTAAGAAAGCCCCATACGTGAAAAAAAGTAGCGGCGCTCATTTATCGTCGCCACAACACCCTCGTCGCACTGCCAACCTCCTCCCTTATCAACCCCTCCTTCGCGGTGTCACTTTATGCGTGCCGCGTGTTTGTTATCGCGTGATAGCCCGGTTTTCTTAGATTTGGAAAACGTCACCCACGTGCCGGTTGTGCTTTGAGGAATTTGCCAGCAGCCCGCCACGAGCCAGCAGTCCTCAGTCCGGCGAGCTATCTATCGGCATGCCGCAAGCGAGAACACAATAGTTCTCTCCCCGCCAAGCGCTCGCTTCGTGGCGCTCAACCACTTCAAGTATTATTGCACCGTGCTATAGCGCACTTGAAACAAACGATGTTCTTCGGCTTATCTCATGAGTAGGAGCACGTTTGGTGTATCACAAGTTCTTATTTCCTGCACTTATTGCTGCCACGTTTCTCTTCGAAACAAAGTTTGAGCAAAACGATTCACCTACTCACAGTGCCTGTCGGTATGAATCGCAACGATATGGAGTGATATTATTGAAAAGGAAATGCCTAGCAGTTGATGGGCACAGCTGAGTCAGCTTTGTGGGCATGTGCTTAGCGTTGTTCTGCCACTGAATTCGTTCCACATGTGGTTCTGACGCACAAATGTGTCGCCTCTCGTGCATCTTAGATAATATTGGTGCCCACAGTAGTGTCCACGTGCGATTGTTTACGCTTTGCTTTCTCGGCTTTGTTCCCAGGTACGACCTGATGACTTCGTGCTGGAACGCCAGCCCCATTTGCAGGCCCACATTTTCAGCGATCGTGAGCAGACTCGATGGGATCCTGGAGCAGTCGCAGGAATATTTTAGTTTCACTTCGGAATCTCAATAGCGTGGCGGTTCCCGTCACTTATTGCACTACTGTTCGTCTGACGGTTCGCAAGTTCTGGTGAAGGGAAGCAGGCCTTCTGCCCACTCAAGGACTTCGACTTCAATATAATACGAAAGTGTCTGAACCATTACTGACAACTTCGCGAGAACTATATAATTCTCGTTTCGACTGTTTTGCCAAGATGTAACTTTTTGTTATACTACATAGTCAAACTTTTTATTGTTTTCTGGCATATGGTGATTTTCGTTCTGGGCCTTAGAAAAGTGCAAGTGTTGAATGGTGCGTAGTTCAAAGATTATGAAAAAATATATCGTTTTCGTTATTGCTCAGGTATACAGATAGTAAGTCAGATGTGCCTGCGCGAGAGTGATTACAGCCCGAAATATATTTATAGTTGCGGTTGCATCGCGAAGCTGTGTCCGGAAGCTTTCGCATTGAAATGCCGTGAATAACGGGCAGGTGGGCTGCCATTTCTGGTCACGCAATAGCTGAGCTTGCAGATTAGTTTTGAACGTCGCGGTGTTGAATCCCGGACGCATTTCGATGCTGGAAGCCCACGTAGTTACATTTTGGTGAGAGGTGATATTTCCAGAATTTCTGGGGGGTCTCCCACTAAATTGCATCTCATACTTATATCAGGTGTTTTGCTATGCTAACCCCAACAAGTGCTATTATTAGACGGTATGCGTTTCATTGAAATAGTCCGCGGGTCGGATAGAATGCATTTTCGTTGCCATTCTTGCGAAGCCGAAGAAAAAGGAATGGAGAGGTGAAATATCACGAAGCTTGTACTGTACGCAAAGTTGCATAGGTAACTCGTTTGAGTGAGTGAAGTAAAGTATTCGTGTCATTCAACTAGGTTTTGTTTTTTGTTGAAAGCTTTATATCGTCATGCATTTGTCGGGAGGGGTAATTTGTAGCGTAATCATCATCATCGCCGTTCGTCATCATCGATATTTCGTAGCCACAGCTCGTGTCTCTCGCACAGTAAGAGAACGAGTTCACGCTCCTGGCTTGACGGACGCTGGAAGCCGCCACCGCTCCGCTTCAGGCCCGACGAATAAAGTGTAGAGTTTGGCCCGGCCCTGTCGGCCGCCTTCGACGTCGTCTCACGTCCCTCTCCACTCTCGCCGCTACATCTACACCTCAACTGGTAGTGTGGCAGCTTGGGCTAGTTGGTATGGCATGACGATAGTTATAGCGCGAGAACAAAACGACGACACAGAGACAAGACAAGGCGTGCACGCACGCATTGCTCATTTCAGGGTAATATTGTAACGTAAAATAATCTTGTATGAAAACCTTTCACCTGTGCCCATTTGATCGGTAAGAATACGAGCGAGTAAGACATTTGCGCAAATCGAAAAAACAGATTGCACAAAAAAATGGGCAAACATGGGTACGCGCATACGTGTTTCCGGATGCGCACGCGCAAACGCGTTTTGGAATGCGCACGCGCATACGCGTTTCGGAACGCGCACGCGCATACGCGTTTCGGAACGCGCACGCGCATACGCGTTTCGGAACGCGCACGCGCATACGCGTTTCGGAACGCGCACGCGCATACGCGTTTCGGAACGCGCACGCGCGTTTCCGAATGTTCGTGTGCATTCCACCCGTGTAAATGCTCACGTGGTTAGTATAGTTTTGTTCTAGTAGGAATATACTTAGTTGTTTTAGTGCATGTGTCGGTAAGTCCGATTTTCTCCTCATTCCTGGCCTATTAAAGTGAACTCGCGACCAGCTCAAGCTCCAAGGAGGAAGCAGTGACTTTGATGCAGGTGGGTACGTCTCAGTAAACGATGAACGGTGCTTGTAGACAGTAGTGCCGTATGTCGTGCGGGGCCTTTCAGCAGCTAGGCTCGCCAGGTGGTGAGAAGGGGTCCTGGCATAATGCCCGAGGTGCATGCGCATTGTCTCGGTAATAATATGCGTCTTTATCAAGTGATCTTGAGCGATGGCAATGGTTTCAGCCGTTGAAGCACTGCGGGGAAATCCAAGCCATATCTTAAGTGCTTGGGCTTGAATGCTCTGAATTGCGTGCAGGTTTGTCTTGCCGGTGTTAAATATTGCAGGTAAGCTGTACTATAAGAATCCGATAAACAGCACTCTGTATGTACAGTTCTAGCATGGATGGTATGGGCACTCCCCAATTCTTTCCTGCAAGGAATTTGAACATGTGGCATGTTGCGATCAGCCGCTTCTTCACATAGTTCACGTGTGGAGTCCACGACAGGTTTCTGTCTATTATGACTCCCAAGAACCTGTGGCTTCTGCTAAACGATATGTATTCTTCATTAATCGATATGCTGTAAGCAGACATTGGTTTCCGCGTGAATGCTACCACTGCACATTTTCCGCAGGACACCTCGAGGCCTTGTTTACGAAGGTAGCATGACGTCGTTGCCGCAGCCTTCTGAAGGCGGGCGCGAAGCTGAGGCCTTGTCACACATGATGTCCAAATGCAGGTGTCATCAGCGTAGACAGAACGTTCTACAGTGCTAGGTAGCTGCTTCGACTAGATCAATGAGAGTGAGGTTGAAAAGTGTAGGGCTTAACACCCATCCCTGAGGAACTCCTCGTCTGCTGTAATAATCAGGTGTTGGGCGATTCGCTGTCATCACGTAAAATGATCTCAGCTGTAAGTAGCTGTACACCCACATATATATCTTGCCACCAAGACCTACTGTTTCCTAATCACTAAGGATGGCTTCATGGGTGACATTGTCGTAAGCCCCCTTAACGTCTAGAAACAGGGTGGCGCATAGTCTCTTACAGGCTTTCTGGTGTTGAACATATGTCACCAGATCAACAACGTTGTCGATTGACGAATGGCCGCGCCTGAATCTAGTCATGGATACTGGATAGATTTTGTAGTGCTCTAAATACCACTCCATTCGTGTTAGAATCATTCGTTCCATTCTTTTTCCCACACAACTGGCAAGTGCGATAGGACGGTATGAGGAAATATCCAAAGGAGATTTACCAGCCTTTAGAAGTGGAATGAGGCGACTTGACTTCCATGTCTGGGGAACCGTACCAGTCTGCCAGGAGTCGTTGTATAGGCGTAAGAGTGTCTTCCGAGCTTCGTCTCCAAGATTACAAAGGGCACGATAGGTAAGTCTCCAAGATTACAAAGGGCACGATAGGTAATGCCGTAAGGTCCGGGTGCTGAAGAACGTCTACACAGTGCCAGTGCCGCCTCTAGCTCATCCATAGAAAACTGGCATTCCATACGGTGATCACGTGAGGGCGGTGGGTTGTCAAATGTTCCCATTTTTAATACTGTGAAATTGGAATCACCGGCAATTCTTCTACAGAAAAATTCTGCGACGTCAATCTCTCTGCATTGAAGGTGAAGTGCCAGAGATGTAAACGGGTGTCGCTGACCCAAGGTTGTGCTAAGACCCCGAACAGTTCGCTATATCAGTGATAGGAGCTTTCGTGGATCAAACGACTCGAAAAAGGATGTCCAACGTCGCCTAGCCAGTTTATCCATGTGCCGCTGCATTTTCTTTTGAATACATCTAGCCAGCCTCAAATCATCCATGCACTTTGTCCGTCGGTACCTTCGTTCTGCACGACGGCGTATTGCGCGAAGTTTCTCATGCTCGATGTCGAAATTGGTGCGCTTGTGACTAGTCAACAGTGAATGCGTGGTATTCTGCAGGACATCCTTTATCGAGTCCTCTAGGTTATATGATGAGCCGTCGGTACAGCAGTCTTCAATTAACATTTTGAATTTCGGCCAATCGGTGTATTTGAGGCCTCTTGAGGACTTGGAGCTGGTAAAACCTTCTATACACAGGTAAGTCGGTATATGGTCGCTGCCCCGCGTTTCCAGATGCGAAAACCAGTGCACTTTCCTGGTAAGTGAGGTAGAAACCAATGTAAGGTCCAGGCAGCTGCTATAGGCTGATCCGCGTAAATATGTAGGGCTTCTATCGTTACAAACGCAGAGTTCATACTGCGAGGCTAAGGACACCAATTTTCTTCCTCTAGAGTTGTCCCTGGAGCTTCCCCATAGAAAATGATGGGCATTGAAGTCGCCAGTGATCACCCATGGCCTTGGAGTCGATGTCAGAATACCGCGTAAGCGCTCGCAGTCAAGGCGGCTTGATCGAGATAAGTAAGCTCCGATAATCGTGAAAGCAACCTTATCATTCTTCAAAGTAAGGCACACATACTGATTCCCTTCATCAGGCGAGACTCTGTGGTGAACCTAAATGAGGTCATGGCGCATGAATACAATAACTTTGCTGCAGTCTCTATGAGTGGAGGACATAAAGCACTCATATACTGACAGCTTGATTGAAGCAGACAGGTTGGGTTCACAAATCACGATAATGGGGAAGTGGTTCACAAATACAAACTGTCTGAAGTCAGACATGCGCGATTTCAGTCCTCTAGCGTTCCACTGAAAGGCAGATGAATTCTTGACTTCCGCTTGAAACGACGGTGCCTCGCTAGCCATGGTTTTACCTTAGAGCTGCAAGCACCGGACTCAGGGTGTCCAGCACATGCAGTGCGGTCTGCGCTGCCGAAGTCTTCATAATACTCAGTAGGACACGCATGGTACTCATCAGCGATTGCAGCAAGCTTATCACTTGATCTTCATCGCATCACTGGTTTGAGGGGTCGTCGAGGGCGGCGGGATTTGATGCAGCTCCGAAGTAGGTTGACTTCGTGGAAGTGAGGGCCACTGTTCGGAAGGTGCGACTGCGTTCCCTTTCTTCTGTTTGGCAGTATCCGTCTTCACTGAGCTCGGTGTTTGTGGGGCAACCTCTTTGATAGAGGATGACATCTCCCTATCGGTAGAGCAGTTTTTCTGTGGTGGTCTTTGCCCACGACGCCATCGTCGGCGTAGTGTAGCAGCAGCTTCCCTGTGCGTTGAATTGTCCCGCACCATACGCCTGAGTACCGCGTGCTCGTTTCGCACCCGCGGGCAATCTTTGGATGAGGCCTCATGAGCGTCATGGCAGTTTGGACATCGTAACACGATGGCACCGCAGGCGTCTTTTGAGTGAGATTCAGCGCCCCGCGGACACACAACTTTGTTCTCACAGACACCTTTTACGTGTCCCATCTTGAAGCACTTGTAGCATTGCAGTGGCTTCGGCACTGAGTGGCGAACATGGCCAACTTTGACATACGAGGGAAGGCTGTTTCGCTCGAACACAAGCCTTAAGCAGCGTGAGTTGCCGAGTCTGGTAATGTGCGTGATGCGGGTGCCTTCTGTCGCTGGCTTCATTAGTAATGGCAGGTCATTAGCTGGGATGGAAAGATCCACATCATAAATGACGCCTACAGTGCCATTACAACCTGTAGCGACCATTGGCCGAACTTTCAAGTTGCTGATTTCTGTTATGTGCCGAAGGCTTTGCAGTGCGCTACGGTGCATATCGTCTACAGCAAGTACATTCTTCTGTGCATTGATCCTCACGTCTTTGATCTCATTCGGCGTGGTTTCCTCGAGAAGCACAGAAAGAAATTGCCTGTTGAGGAGTCACAAGTTAGATGCCGGGTCTTCGGGCATAAACAGCATGGTGTGCGGCCACCGCTGTGGTGCAGTCTTAACGGTGGAAACACTTGCCGACGATGCCGTCCGCAGCAGTCTTCGTTTTGTACTTCGATTCATGACGACCGTGAAGTCATCATCCGATGACTCGAAGCTGTCCGAGTACAAATCGGTTGCCTCGCTGTCTGTGTCGCTCGACGCGTTGCTACGCTTCCTGGACGACGAAGCCCGGCGCGACGGTTGCACGCCTGGAACATTCTCAGGTGTGTCCTGAAGCATCACCGCAAAGGAGGGAGTGGCTGCTCCCAGGATTTCCAGGAAAACAAATTGAAAATACTGAGACACGGGTAAGCGTTCTGTTTGTTTGTTTGTTTGTTTCCCTGGGATGATGGCTCATATCCACTCAGGGGGATTGGCCAAGAAGGTGTAGTGCAGTTTTTCTGTGATCATTTTAGCTATGTGTAATGAATCGGTATTATAAGAATACTAATTTAAAAACAACAACATAAAAAGAGCAAACGAAAATAAAAAAAGTCAAGTTGACCAATTTTGAGATTTGAGGTGTTATGATTACCACTCAGC